AAAAAAAAAAAAAAAAAAAAAAAAAAAAAAAAAAAAAAAAAAAAAAATTTATTCCTTACAGTTCTGGAGGCTGGGAAGTCCAGGATCAGGGTGGCAGTGTGGTCCGGTTCTGGCAAGGACCCTCTTCTGGGTTGCAGATTGCTAACCTCTTGCTGTGTCCTCGCATGGTGGAGGGGGTCAAATGAGCTCCCTGGGGCCTTAGTTATAGGCACAAGAAGGGCCAGTGTATTAGTCAGGGTTCTCCAGAGGGACAGAACTTACAGGGTATATGTTTACGTATTAATAAAAAGGAGTTTAGTAAGGAGAATTGGCTCACATGATCACAAGGTGAAGGTCCATGATAGGCTGTCTGCAAGCCGGGGAAGAAAGAAGCCAGCAGTGGCTTGGTCTGAGTCCAGAAGGCCCCAAATAGGGAAGCCAGTGGTGCAGCCTTCAGTCTGTGGCCAAAGGCCCCAGAGCCCCTGGGAAGCTACTGGTGCAAGTCCAAGAGTCCAAAGCCCAAAAAAACTGGAGTCTGATGTCTCAGGCCAGGAGGAGCAGAAGAAAGCACCCCACAGAGGAGTAAGAAGGAAGCCAGAAGTCCCTGCAAGCAAAACGATCCCATCTTCTGTCGCCTGTTTTGTTTTTTGTCTCACCGGCAGCCAATTGGATGGTGCCCACCTGATATGGTTTGGCTGTGTGCCCACCCAAATCTCATCTTGCACTGTAGCTCCCATAATTCCCGTGCATTGTGGGAGGGACCTGGTGGAAGATAATTGAATCATGGGGCCAGTTTCCCCCATAGTGTTCTCATGGTAATGAATAAGTCTCATGAGATCTGATGGCTTTATAAGGAAAAACCCCTTTAGCTTGGTTCTCATTCTCTTTTGTCTGCCACCATGTAAGACGTGCCTTTCACCTTCTGCCATGATTGTGAGGCCTCCTCAGCCACGTGGAACTGTGAGTCCATTAAACCTCTTTTTCTTTATAGATAACTCAGTCTTGGGTATGTCTTTAATAGCAGTGTGAAAATGGACTAATACTCCACCCACATTGAAGGTGGGTCTTCCTCACCCAGTCCACCAAGTCAAATGTCAATCTCCTTTGGCAACACCCTCACAGACACACTCAGAAACAATACTTCACCAGCTATCTAGGCATCCTCCAGTCCAATCCTGTGATGCCAAATATTAACCATCACAGCTGGGCATGGTGATTTACTCTCGTAATCCCAGGACTAGGAAGCCAAGGTGGGAGGATTGCTTGAGGCCAGGAGTTTGAGACCAGCCTGAGCAATACAGTAGACACTGTCTCCACAGTCTTTTTTTTTAATGAAAAAAAAAAAATATATATATATATATATATGGGCCTAAAATCCATTCACAAGTGCTCTACCCTCATGATCCAGTCACCTCCCACGAGCCCCATTTTTTTTTTTTTTTTTTTTTGAGATGGAGTCTTGCTTTGTTGCCCAGCCTGGAGTGCAGTGGCACAATCTTGGTTCACTGCAACCTCTGCCTCCTGGATTCCAGTGATTCTCCTGCCTCAGCCTCCCAAGTGGCTGGCATTACAGGTGCCTTCCCCCATGCTCAGCTAATTTTTGTATTTTTAGTAGAGATGGGGTTTTACTATGTTGGCCAGGCTGATCTCGAACTTCTGATCTCAGGTGATCCACCCTCCTTGGCCTCCCAGACTGTTGGGATTACAGGCGTGAGCCACCACGCCTGGCCCGAGCTCCACTTTCTAATACCATCATCTTGGGGGTTAGGATTTCAACATATAAATTCTGGGGGGATGCAGACATCAGTCCACAGCACCTCCCTCCCTCAATCACCTTCTTCTGGTATCTCCTCTAAGGTCACTTCTTCAGTGAGGTCTCCCTGATGACCTCCCTTCCCACGTCACATCATCTGGTTCGTATTCCTTACTCAGCAAGTCATAACCACTGTGTGCCTCCAGTTTTCCATCTGTAAAATGGACACAATAATGGCACCCACCTCATGGAGTTGCTTTAAGGTAAAAATGAGTAAATATGGAGTAGTGGTTCTCAACCAGGGGTGATTCTTCCCTCAGGGTGGAGACATTTGGTAATATCTGAAGACATTTTTGGTTGTCACGACTATGAAGGTGCTACTGGTACCTAGTGAGTAGACGCCAAGGGTGCTGCTGAAATATCTGCAATGCAAGAACCCTTTACTAGGAGGAATCGGCCAATACAAAACATCAGTAGTGCTGAAGCTGAGAAACTATGCTTTAGGGAAAATGTTTAAGACAGTGCCTGGCTCTTAACAAGCACCCAAGAAATGCCAACTGTCATTAGTGTCCACCACTCTGTCCCTCACATTTTACCCCGAGTGGATTCATCAGTAAATACTCGCCTTATGAACATAAAGATTGAGGGATGCATTCCTTACAACCAGGCATACAGTAAGTGCTCAATAAAAATTTAGTGACCAGGCACGGTGGCTCACGCTTGTAATCCCAGGACTTTGGGAGGCCGAGGTGGGCGGATCACCTGAGGTCAGGTGTTCGAGACCAGCCTGCCCAACATGCCAAAACTCTATCTCTACTAAAAATACAAAAATTAGCTGGGCGTGGTGTCGGGTGCCTGTAATCTCAGCTACTCGGGAGGCTGAGGCAGGAGAATTGCTTGAACCCGGAAGGTGAAGGTTGCAGTGAGTCGAGATTGTGACACTGCACTCCAGCCTGGGCGAGAAGAGAGGAACTCTGTCTAAAAAAAATTTTTTTTTGGTTAATTAGATTGTGCATTCTCCAGTGCCAGGCACAAGGCAGGCATTTTCATAGATATTTTATTAGTTAATGCATGTGAGGCTTAAAGGCTATCTCTGGGGATTGGTATATGGTAGACACTCAATATGTATGAATAAATGAGAGAACCAAATGAAATGGTGTTTGCACAGGGCCTGGTGCATGGTAGCTGCTCAGGGCTCATTAGCTTCCCCATCTCATCCCCAGACCCTAACACTTACCAGCTACCTGGACCTCAGTCTTTGCCTTCATAGTCCAGTCAGAGTTGATGGTGATGGCTACTTGGTAGGTGCCGCTGTCCGTAGGCTGGGCACGGCGCAGCAGCATGGAACCATTGGGGAAGCCCACAATGTCTCGCTGTCCCATGGCGCTGCCATCCCTTTGGGGCCGTTGTATCCCGGGGATGTAGGTAAATAGTCTCGTGCCTCCATAGGTCTCCTCCCCCAGGTACCAGTTGATGTCCTGGAAGGTGTCTGGGACACCCTGGACGGACAAGAGAAGGTCCCGGTTCTTTTGAGGCTGCTCTGGAATCTTCTGGATGTGGAGGGCTGCCTGGGAGCTTTGGAGCATCCAGAGGACCAGGATTGAGGCTGTGGGAAGTTATAGGGAAAGGCTGAGATCAGGGGTGTTGCCAGGGTTCATGGTATGCTCCTCTCTAGACAGAGATTTTCACTGGAGAGCAAGGACTCTGAGTGCTGCTCATTGGACATAGTGCTGGGATTGATTATTGATGTCTGCCGTGGGTACAGGAGTGGGAACACAGGCATGGATACCACAGATTTGCCATCCTACTGATCCAGAGGTTTTTCTACATTGAGATGCTGTGTGGTCTGCTTCTAAACACATGGACTCTCTGAATTCATTCATTCATTCATTCATTCAATCAATACTTATACGCATGTATAATATATGGGCTACAATACCAACTATATATAATACATCTACACTTCTTTCAATGTTTAGACACTGGAGATATAGCAGAGAACCAAACATACATAAATTTCTGCCTTCATTAACCCGACATTATAGAAAATTCCACAGATAAAACAGTGATAAGGACGTGATTCTGTTGCCCCTCCCCATCTTACTCTAATTTCATCCTCTCAGATCATCTTTCCCTACTTCTAAGAGGAAGCTTCAGTCCCTGGGCTGAGTCCCTCATCCCTTCTCCCCCTCGGCCTTTATGGTGTATATCCTCCTTACCTGAGAGCAGGAGGCTCTTTGAGAAGCAGCCCTGGGTCCCCATGGGAATCTCCACCTTCGTGTCCTGTGGATATGCCAAGGGCCCAGAAGCTGAACACTAAGGGCTAGGCCCTGGCCATCTGACGTAGGCAAACTCAGTAGGGATCCCAGGGGTGCCTTAGAGACCCTGCTGAGGCTGGCCCAGCCCTAGCATACCCTGTCCATAGCCTCTGGAGGCTCCACCTATACTCCCTGGGATGGGAGCACAGACGCAGGTTGAACCAGTTTTTCAGGGTGACTGGGGAACTTCCCAGGACTCCTCCCCTGTCCTTCGTCAACCTCTTTTTCTCACTCAGGGTGACTGCAACAGCAGTCACTGTAACAATAGTCATAGCGGCCTCTGTTTGAACAACTTCCCTGGGTTTGCTCATTCAGCAGCCACCATAAATAACTGTTCCCATTGCATAGACGTGAAAACAGAGGCCCAGGAAGAGGCAAGTCTGCCCATAGACAGATGTGGGATTTCACCTGTTGCTGACTCACTTGAAAGCTCTGAGACAGGCCAGGCAAGGTGGCTCATGCCTGTAATTCCAGCACTTTGGGAGGCTGGGGTGGGTGGATCATGCGGTTGGAAGTTCAAGACCAGCCTGGCCAACATGGTAAAACTCCGTCTCTATTAAAAATACAAAAATCAGTCAGGTGTGGTGGCAGGCACCTGTAATCTCAGCAACTGGGGAGGCTGAGGCAAAAGAGTTGCATGAACCTCGGAGATGGAGTTTGCAGTGAGCTGAGATCGCACCACTGCAGTCCAGTCTGGGTGACAAAGCGAGACACTACCTCAAAAAAAAAAAAAAGAAAGAAAGAAAGAGAAAGAAAGAAAGCTCTGAGCCTAATACTTTAGTCTTGCTGTATTTCCATTCATGAACATTGAATGTCTTTCCATTGAAATGTGCCACTTATAATTTCACAAATATTTACATTTTTCAGAGATGTGTTATTATATATTTTTTGAGACTGAGTCTTGCTCTGTTGCCCAGGCTGGATTTCATTGTTCACCACAGCTTCCAACTTCTGGGCTCAAACAATCCTCCTGTCTCAGCCTCTTGAGTAGCTGGGACTACAACTGTGTACCACCATGCCCGGCTAATTTTTTTATGTTTTGTAGAGATGAGATCTCACTATGTTGCCCCAGCCCGGTGTTGGACTCCTGGGCTCAAGTGATCCTCCCACCTTGGTCTCCCAAAGTACTGGGATTACAGATATGACTCACCACACCTGGCTTAGCCTAGTTTTTTAAAAAGCATCCTCCATTCATTCATTCATCCAGCACACATTCCCAGTGCCCAGTTGTGGGTGCTGGGTGATGTTGGTGACACAGTGATGATTGAGACCATCCTCTGTCCACAGTAGGGTACACAGTCCTGTACCATGTAGGGGGCAGATCCCTCCCCACACAATGATGATCCAGAGTGATCAGGGCTGGAATGGAGGAGGCCAGGAGTCTGGGAGAGCCCAAGGGGACACACCTCATTCAACCTGAGGGGTAGGGAGGGCTTCCTGGAGGAGGGGGCATCTGAGCTGAGACCTGGAGTAAGAGTAGAAGTGAGGCAGATGATGGGGTGAGGCTGGGTGAGGGTTACCAGGCAGCATAAAGAGCAATGCAGGGTGTGGAGGCTGATACAGTCATCAAGGCGAATTGAGGTTGCAATATCCTGGGTGGGTGGAGCCAGGAAGGAGCACATGGGGCATGTCTGTGTGAGGCTGGGTGGTGTGCTCTGTTGGTTGGATCAACAGAGCTTGGGTGATGGAGAGACTAGTGTTATGTTGTTTAATATCATAGCTATTAGTCATATGTGGCTATTTAAATATAAATTTTGGCCAGGCACGGTGGCTCACTCTTGTAATCCTACCTCTTTGAGAGGCCGAGATGGGAGGGCTGCTTGAGCCTAGGAATTTGACACCAGCCAGGGCAACATAGTAGCTGGGATTGCAGGCATGCATCACCAAGCCTGGCTACATTTTGTATTTTTAGTAGAGACTGGGTTTTGCCATGTTGGCCAGGCTGATCTTGAACTCCTGACCTCAGGTGATCCTCCTGCCTTGGCCTCTCAAAGTGCTTGGATTATAGGTGTGATTCCATCTCTAGACAAAAAATTTTTAAAAAATTAGCTAGCTTTGGTGGCTCTTGACTGTAGCTCCAGCTACTCAGAAGGCTGAGGCAGGAGGATTACGAAGCCTGGGAGGTCGAGGCTGCAGTGAACTTTGATCATGACACTGCACTCTAGCCTGGATGACAGAGTGAGAGAGACCCTGTCTCAAAAAGAAAATGTTGAATAGGCTAGGCACAGTGGCTCATGCCTATAATCCCAGCACTTTGGGAGGCAGAGACAGGAGGATCACTTGAGGTCAGGAGTTGAAGGTCAGCCTGGCCAACATAATGAAACCCTGTCTCTACTAAAAATACAAAAATTATCGGGGTGTGGTGGCACACGCCTATAATCCCAGCCACTCTCCACTGGGAGGTGGAGGTTACAGTAAGCCAAGATTACACCACTGCGCTCCGGCCTGGGCAACAGAGTAAGACTCCATCTCAAAAAAAAAATTGAATATATATATGTAAAAATGTATATATGTGTGTATAAATATGTATATATATGTGTGTATTTATATTCAAAGTAATTAAAATTAAATGTATTTAAAAAATGCAGTTCCTCAAACTAGCCACTTTCAAGTGCTCACTAGCCTTGTGTGATCAGTGGCTATTACACTGGACAGCACAGATGGAGAATGCTTTCATCATCATCTCAGAAAGTTCCATCCGGGAGCGAGGGTTGACCTAGGGATTTGAGGCAGGCGTGCCAGGCATTTCTACCTGGTGAGGGCCATGAGGAAGAGATAGCGAGGCCGGGGTGTGATGTATCTATAGCACTTTGTGGGTGTCTGAGTGTTCTGGACACGTCTTCAGCCTGTTGGGGGTGATGGTATCTTCCAGAGGCCCCAGGTTGAGGCAAATCAGGAATCTTTTGAGACGGAGTCTTGCTCTCTCACCCAGCTGGAGTGCAGGGGTGCGATCTCTGCTCACTGCAACCTCCGCTGCCTGGGTTCAACTGATTCCCCTGCCTCAGCCTCTCGAGTTGCTGGGACTACAGGCACCCGCCACCACACCGGGTTAATTTTTTGTATTTTAGTAGAGATGGCGTTTCACCATGTTGGCCAGGATGGTCTCGATCTCCTGACCTTGTGCTCCTCTCGCCTTGGCCTCCCAAAGTGCTGGGATTACAGGCAAATCAGGAATCTTGACATTGAACCACCTTGAAGGATGGGGTGGCCCGGCTATAGACTGGTCGGCTGCAGACTCCAGGGAAGCTCTGCCGTGAGGGGGCGGGTGTGGCTGAAAATCTGGTTTTACTACCATTTGGCTGGGGGATCTTATGGCAAATGACTTCACCTCTCAAGAATGGGGATAAGCATCACCACCTCACAGGGACGTTGGGAGAACAGTGTGCAAGAGGCCCGGCAAACAAGCGACAAACGCCTGCCATTCTTCTTATTATTGGTGTTGACCTTGTCTTTGAACTTACCCCACCTCCCCCATTGCCCCCACCCTCGTGACCCTGCTCAAGAGAAGTATATTTTTCCTGGAGGGATTTTTAATCCTCCACATCCCCAATGTTTCTTAATGCCTGGAAGATTTTCTTTCTTCTTTCCTTTCCCCTTCCTTCTTTCCTTCCTCCCTCCCTCCCTCCCTCCTTGCTTCCTTCCTTTTTCTTTCTTTTTTTCCCCGAGAGAGTTTTACTCTTGTTGCCGAGGCTGGAGTGCAGTGGCACAATTTCGGCTCACTGCAACCTCCGCCTCCCAGGTTCAAGCAATTCTCCTGCCTCAGCCTCCTGAGTAGCTGGGATTACAGGCATGCGCCACCACATCCAACTATTTTTGTATTTTTAGTAGAGATGGGGTTTCTCCATGTTGGTCATTCTGGTCTCGAACTCCCGACCTCAGGTGATCCACCACCTTGGCTTCTCAAAGTCCTGGGATTACAGGTGTGAGCCACTGCGCCTGTCACGCCTGGAAGATTTTATGCTGGGTTCGTGGGTCAGAGTACCCTCAGAATCTACCTTCAATCCTTTTTTTTTGAGACAGAGTCTTGCTCTGTCACCCAGGCTGGAGTATAGTGACATGATCTCAGCTCACTGCAACCTCTGCCTCCCGGGTTTAAGGGATTCTCTACCCTCAGCCTCCGCAGTAGCTGGGATTATGGGTGCCTGCCACCATGCCCGGCTTATTTTTGTATTTCTAGTAGAGACGAGGTTTCACCATGTTGGCCAGGCTGGTCTCGAACTCCTTACCTCAGGTGATCCGCCCACCTTGGCCTCCTAAAGTGCTGAGATTGCAGGCGTGAGCCACCACACCCGGCCCTTCGATCTTTGCTGCAGTTTTGCAATTTCCTTGGTCTGTCTCCTGAATAGAGGTTGTTGCAAACCCTGCAATTATTTCCAGGCACGTAATGCAAAGCCAGCTATTCTCAATTTTCCGGTGGCTGGATTCTACCCTCTCCTGTCTCCCTCCCTCTCTCTCTCTCTTCTTCCTCTCCCTTTCAAATAATAACTACGATTCCTTTTGCATTATTAAAAGAAGAGTCAAGGTTTATTATAGAATATTTAGGCAGTACTTCAAAGAGAATAAACCCAGACATCTTCTAACTACTCAGCGGGAGGCACTGCTAGTAACAGAGGTACCTGGTCCCGCAGCCTTCATCCGGGCCTCTCCCCAGACCCAGAGGGCAGGTCCTGATTGGCCCAGCTTCCCAGGCGGTCCCATTCTTTTGGCCAGGGATTGGTTGAGCGGTGGGAGGCGCTCATGAATGAGACCGGAAAAGACGCTGCTGGGTGAGGTTTCTCGTTCCCACGGAGGCTCACTCCGGTAGGGATGGGCGGCTTCTCTGGGTCTGAGTCTGGATGTGATGCCCGGAATGCAGCAGCCATCTTGGCACCAGAGGGTGATGCCCGTATGTGGAGGAAAGCTGAACAAACAGCAGAGAAGTAGAGCCGTGCCCAGAGTAGACCAGTTCTTTTTTTTCTTTTTTTGAGACAGGGCCTCGCTCTTGTCACCCAGGCTGGAGTGCAGTGCCTCGATCATGGCTCACTGCAGCCTCCGCCTCCCCGGTTGAAACGATTCTCCCACCTCAGCCTCCTGAGTAGCTGGGATTACAGGCATGCACCACCATG